CTTCAGGTGTTATATCTTTTGGCAGCCAAGCATCATCCACTTTCTTCACCAAATTTTCTTGTGCACCCATTGTCTTCAGCGATCATGCCAGGTAGGTGAGCAGGAGACAATCTTTAAGGTGTCTCCCATTCCTAAAACTTTAGTGAACACAATCCATGATTAGAGACAGTCCCAAGGCAAATGCTAGCTTAATGCCAATTCCATGCTCTTTAATGTTATGTAAATTTGCCCTCACAGTGGATAGAACCAATGCCTACTTGAAACAAATTCACTACAAATCATTTGCTGTAAATGTTAAAAACAAAATTAATAAAAAAGCTCAGATCCCTTCCTTGCGCTAAAGTGAAATGAGAACCCTATGTGCTAGGTTGGACTTACACAGTTTTAAAGACAGTTAGGGATGGATCTCATTTGTATCCTGGGGTCTGCCTGTAGTCTTTTAATTACAATTTTAAGTAATTTGGCTCATGTATCTGTCCCTTAGCAAGAACTGGCTGGAAGAACATGGATTTATGAAACTTTGTTTGACTCTAGGAACTGTGAAAACATTGGCTTTTCTCATAGCTAAAAGACAGAAATTCTGGCTTGCTGGACATTTTTGGAAGTATGCAAAAGTTAGAGTTGTATTGTTGAAATTTTCTTCTCAATGAACTCACGATTTAAAAAAGATGGGGAGATGTTATAAAGGTAAGAGGACAGATGAAAATAGACAGGGCACAAAAAAGTTTACTTTGGACAAAAGCCTCAAGAATATATTTTCATTAGGATGTGTTTTAGAAACAACATAAAAGCACAAATTTGTATCTTGCAAGTAGGTAATGCAAAATGAAGACTTCTTAAATGCTTGTCTAGAAATACTAGAATTCATCCTGTCCAGAATACTGCCTTCCTAATAACACTTAGCCTCTTGCTTATTACAGTTGACCCCTGTGCAATGTGGAGGCTAGAGGTGCTTACCTCCGGTACAGTAAAAAATCCACATGTAATTTTGTTGATCCTTAGATGACAGGTTTGACTATACATGGCTTTTTTCTCTGTTGCTGCTTTGAGTGTGTGTTGAGTATTCTCATTAAACACCGTGTGACACTAATTATTTCTGTATGAGGTGGGCAGTGGTTTAGGGTCAAACTGTTATTTCCAGGTGAGCACAACCAATACTTATAAGGGAAAAGGTAATCCAAATCTCATCTTTCTGATATGCATAAGAAGTAGCCTTTCACACTGTGGATTACTTACAGACCATGGCCATCGGAGACCCATTATTTGAGGGGGTGGAGGGTGTGCTATTTAGTTCATTCATTTCAGAGAAACCCCCTGGATTTCTATTGCCCAAGTATGTTTCTTCCTCAGTAAAAACAACCTCTTAACTCAAGACGTCCACTCTCCTTAGGAAAACACCATCAATGGAATAAAGCCAACGTGGCCACTGACTGGTCTATGCCTACAGCTCGAGTGGTTTCTATTGGAATATCCTGGTATTTTGAAGCATTACAATTTTTCTCCCCAATTGTAAGGATCCCCTATAACAAATTTTGACAGCTCATCGAAATTTAGCAGGATAAATGAATAGGGTGCCCCAAAATGGAACAAGGTGGTAATCATGAAAAAAGAAAAATTATCTTGTAGAACTCCACATTTAAATAACAGAACTCAATTCTAACACATTAATACATTTGTTTTATGAAGTATATCTGCAATTCTCTAACAGAAAGGCAAAAACCCCCTGCATCGTGGCTACAGGTATGGGCTTTGGAGTAAGAATCTGGTCCTAAATTCTGGTTACGTTTCAAATGATCTTGGGAATTTATCTTTTAAATGTCATCCTTAGTAAAAACGAGGGTAACACATTTGAGGACAAAATGTGATCATGTAGAAAGTTATATAAATAAAAAAATGAAAGGCTGCTAAACAAGACTTCACACACCACCACTGATTCTTAGCGACTCATTTCGAGTGGGGGCGATCCAGTAGGACAGGGTACAGCGGCCCCTATGTCAGTTTCCTCGGACTGTTAACTCTTTACTGGAGTAAAATTTACATGAGGCTCACTACTCCTGTCAGGAATTGGTCTCGGAAACCCACAGGGAAGTTCTGCTCTGTCCTATGTCACTGAATTGTAATCTCATTGGCAATGAACTTGAGTGTGCATCCTACTATACCAAGAGCCAATGGAAGCCCAAGTTTCAATGCTTCCAATTAAAAAAAAAATTTGGTGGTGGTGTGCGATGCTGCTAAGTTCAGACTCCTACCAGCACTATGTGCCACAGAATAGCTGTGGACGAGGCTTTTCTTGCAGCGGTTCTCAACCTGCCTCATGCCGAGACCCTTTAATAGTTCATGTTGGAGTGACCCCAACCGTAAAATTATTTTCGTTGCTACTTCATCACTGTCATTTTGCTACTGTAATGAATCATCATGTAAATATGATAGGCAGGATGTCTTCTCATTGTTACAAATTGAACATCATTAAAGCATAGAGATTCATCACAAAAACAACATATAGATTGTGAACTATTTATTTCTAATGACAAAGAAATGCAATGTTGTCTGGAAGCATGGTGTTGCATGGGTAACAGCTTTCACGTCAGACACTCGTAGGTAGGCGTATCTGCATGTGGGCGGACGCCCCTGGAGACGGATAGAAGAGCGGTGTCTCGGTTCCCAAGACTCTCGGAAATGTGTTTTCCGATGGTCTTAGGCAACCCCTGTGAAAGGGTCATTCGACCCCCAAAGGAGTCGTGACCCACCGGTTGAGAACCGCTGTTTTAATGGCCTCAGCCCATCACCAGGCTGTTGCTGCATGGGTTTCAAGCACCATCCTTAAGGTTGGCAGTCCAGTGCAAAGTTTGCACCCCCAAAGGACCTTACTTGTGAGTGAAGCAATAAAAAGCAAACTTCAGAAGACTTACAAATAAACACTAGACATTTCATGATTCACGGTAAAGGCATACACTGTTCCTTTCCAAACAGGCAGAGTTAAAAAACGAATCCCAGTCATTTTGGTCTTTTGTTGTTAGGTGCTATCAGAAACCGCCCACCCTGCACTGTGCTCACAACGCTCTTGTGTCCGAGCCCATGGTCGCAGCCCCCGTGCCAGCAGCTGGTGGAGGGCCTTCCTCTCTGGCGCTGCCCGCCACTTGACCAAGCACGATGCCCTTCTCCAGGGGTTGCTCTCCCGATCACACGCTCAACGCACATGAGACAAAGTCGTGAAATCCTTGCCTCTACGGAACATTCTTAAAGTTCATCTATTTTGGTCACAAGATTTACTATTTCATAAGTTTGTCCTACATATTTTCCTTATCTAAATTATTATTGTTTATAATACAGAAGCCCTGGTGGCTAAGTGAGTATATCTTATGCTGCGAAAGGGAAGGTTTGAAACCCTCAAGCTGCTCTGTGGGATAAAGACAAGGCACTCACTCTGCCTCCCTAAGGAGTTGGGGAAGTCCATGGGGGCAGAGCTACCCTGACCTGAAGGGTCGCTATGAGGTGGAATTGACTGCACTGAGGCAGTGAGTTCGCCTTTCCAGTTTTGTTTGTAAAACCAGCCAGTGAAACGCTGACCCCCAAAAAACCCCAACAGCATTAGGTTTAAAAAATGTTCTAGCCATCATTCAAGGTAGTTAGTCCAAACTTAGTGGGAACATGTTCTGGAACTAAAGCCATTCAAGATAAACTTTACTTGACCTCGGGAAAATATACCTTTAAAGGATGAAAATAATTAAAAGTGTGATCATAAGCTTCTTTTGGCACTACTACTTTCTCCTTCAAGAATATTTATCTCACGCGATAATCTGACAGGCTCTCAAAGAGTAAGAAAAAGTTCTTTTAAATTTCATGATAGGTTTAATTAGGTAATTGCAGGGGGGAAAACATTAAAACAAATTCTTATGATATCATCTGATATGTCCAATTACATGGGTATGATGTAACAAAAACATTGAACAAACTTATATATGCATATTTACATTATATACTCAAAACTATCAAGCTAGTTAACTATCCAGAAGGAGATACATGATGACGTGGGTTAAACAATTTTTCATTGCTTATTAGAAAGAATGCAGTCAAGCTTTTAATGGAAATAATATACAAGTGAGGCACTTCTGAGGTCAAGAATAGAAAGCAAAAGACACTATATACTGGCAATGTTCACAAAAATCTGAGTATCTTTAATACAAAGGGTTTTCAATTAGATTATTCTTGAAAAACTTCAAAACAACTTAGCAATTTAAGAAGCTTTCAGGAACAATGGCCAAACGTTTATCAGTGTACCAAAGCATATGAAAGTTTTTATAACCACCTGGCTGCTAGGCAACAGTAGCTTAATACCTTAAAGCCCTTTTGTTTATTTGGTTTACTTGAAATAACCTCAGGTTGTGGGTTGTTTTCAGGTCTTAAATTTTTATGTAAGATTCACTGCAAAGGATCTTATAGTGCTATTATCGTTTATAGACCTTTTTTTTTTTTAGTGCAACAGTAATGCAAGTTTCTAGTGCTTTCTTTAATATTTAGAAATGTGACCCATGAAGATCAAACCTAGAGAATAACAGTAAGGAATCTGCTGTTTTCATCAGATACCTAAAACTTGAATGTTGAGCTCAATGGAGTTTGGGGCTAAGATTTAAAAAAAAAGAAGCAATCTTAAGACATTCATTTCAAAGTGTAATCACCAAATCTGACGGTTCTTTGAACCGTCCATCTAGAGGGAAAGTAGAAGTTTCCTGTGCTCTGGGGACTCACACCGTTATTAAGAAACTTTGTGCCATTCCATTAAGGGAGCGAGAAAAAGAAACTGCAAGACTTACCCAAGATATCAGATGGCACGCTCTACCACTTGAATTGTAAATGCATTTATTTGTATGACAGGCAGTCCAGGATGAAGAATCAATCCTACATGCTCGTTCATGTACTGCAAACTTCCCTCACTTGGCAAGGATTGAACCAACCCTCTCAATAAGTGTTCCGTCACGCTTACCTTCAGTTGCTGCCCAGGCAGCTTTGAAATGAATGAGAAGGCCACATAAGTCTCTTCTTGCACCATGGAAGGCTAAACATGGAGCCACATGCATCTGTTCAATTGACCCACACATTAATAAAGACGTGATGGCAGAATGGATTTCCTTAAGACCCCGGGGACTGCCTGTATTACAAAAGCTCATTTTAGGCACCTGCTGAATAACCAATGAAAATAGGTAGTTTCGAGTTTTTCCCTTTAAATTTAACTCTGGCCCTGACATCATCACACACACACACACACACACACACTCGCTCATGTTCTTTTGAAGTTGTCACAATGGCATACAGTAGATTGTTTATTAAAAAAATTCTCCCTGTTAATGGGAGGAAAAGTAATCGCATTTTCATAATGACTTTTGACAAAAAAAGGTGGGCTGCGTGGAGAGAACTGGCTCTGTAAATGCTTCAGCACATCCATTAAATTTGATTGCCAGTTCTGAACACCTATATATCCCTTTAAAACAGGATATGTAAGAAAAAAGTGCTTTAAAATCATTGAACCACCAACACACAGTAGGAAAAAGAAACCATTTCACATTCCTTTTGAGATCTTTCTTACTCCTGGCTTCCCCAGTGGGAGGGAGCCATCATTTCCATAACCCTTTATGGGTAGTGATGAGCCCTGTGTGATACCTATTTCCATCTCTGTCTGAGGTCTGTGAACCAGGCATCCAGTAGATGGTGCTCAAGAATCATACCTCACTTCCTCAGAAACAGGTCAGAACCATCAATTTTGAACATAAGCTCATCAGACCAGATCAGTCTTTCTTATCTACTAGATGATTTCATTTTGAATATTCACTGTTACTTAAGTATTTTTATTTAGCCATTTGCTACTACTACCAGATTTAAAAAAAAAAAGAGAAAGGTTAAGGAGAAGCCAATTGGCAGTGCCACATCTGTATGGAAAACAAGATGTTCTAGAATGTACCTGTTGACGTGTTTAAAAATGAGAGCATGTTTTCACCTAAGGATTCTAATTTACTTAAGAAAAAATTTCTACACAGGGAGTCAGGTGACATAAGTTAGTCTTTTAGATTGATTTGGAAAACGATTTGTTAACTATAAAGATCCAAGATGAAATAAAAATCATTTCATCAGCATAATTTTTTAATAAAGAAACTTGTTTAAAATTGTAAAGGAAAAATGGGGATGGGATGGCAAAATCTTAGCAGCAAAGTGGTTAAACAAATTGAAAATATTAATGCACAAACATTAAAATATTAAAGCATATATGTTGTATATAAAATACAGTACAGAACCAGGAGTTGCACTATACTGATTAGTGCTTAACAGGAGAAATTATTAAATTTGTTCTTCCCAGACATATGTACACAGTTTATTTCCACAGCATTTTCCTATATAGCCAGCAAGTTATTTTCTTCAGTTATTCACACCTTGCTCAAACCTGAATTAGAGACTCAGCACTTACTAATATGAAAATTTGTTCACAAGAAAAACAGTATTTCCATTTGACCAATAAAAAGGATTTTTGAAAGTTTAACAGTCTATTCTAGAAACCAAGTTTAGCTGAAAACTTCAGGGATGAAGATCATCTGGCGCAGCAGCGTTCAAATATATAAACAGGAAAAATAAGACTTAAAACGGCTGCCACAGTGTCATGTTTTGGATTCAGTTCATCCAATTGATTTTTAATACAAAACTAGAAATAACCTCTTCTTCATAACATCTATAGTTATCAATATATTTTTCTTCTTTTCAATGTGAAATAATACTTCAAGATGATCTATATACACAATGTTGTCAGTTCAAGCTGTCATATATAAATATAAATGCTTTCTTAAAAAAAAGTATTTTACAGACAGATAGTGTTATGTACATTGTTCAGTTTGATCCGAGACAAAAGACCGCTAACACAAATGTGATATGTAAAAAGAAAGACACATAAATGACATTTAAAAACTTGCATAGAAAACGAGCTTTTAAATGGTAGTGTGATTTTAATTTTCATCACTTCTGAAACTGGAGGCCATCAGAAAAAGGCACACTTCTTAACTACTATACCCCTCTGAGGGAATGTTCTCAAAGAACCCCTCACTGTGTTAGAGTTTTAATGTAGCCACAACGACGACGAAAGACAATTTGACCCTGAAGTACTCTGAACAGTTGGAAAATTTACCCAACTACTTTGTAAATTAAACATCCAGTAATACAATGCTCTGCAGAAGAAATAAATTTTTATGTACAAGCTATCTCATTCACAATGTTGGATTACATATGCTTTTCGGAGAATTTAAAACATATTTTAACATAAAATAATTTTGCTTTTGGTCAGTTAAATAAAATGCAACTGAGAAACGTTATATTGTTATATGAAGATTAAGCTAAAAAAATTAGTAGCACAGCTGAACACATCTTGGTGTAGCATAAGGAGGGATGGAAGACCCAGGAAGAGTTTGAAATGAACTATCCAGTTACACCTTTTGCCTTGGAAGATAGTTGTAAATGCAAGAACATGTTTTGAAGGAGGAAACTCTGGAAGAAAACAACTTGCTGGTTGCATACCACAAAAACAACCCAAAACCTCACTTTTTCCCATAATGTTTACTCAGTCTCTTTTTTATATAAAAATAAGTGTTACATTCCCATTAGAACATTAGACAATTACATCTGTGCTTTAAAAAAAGTTGGTCACTCAAGGCTATTAGAATATTTTAAAGGTTTTTCTATTACCAGAATGTAAAGATAGAACTCACTATAAACTGTAGCCATTGGGAAGAGAGGATGAAAAGATCAAACCACTCACATAAAGGAAAAAAAAAGTTATTAACTAGATGAGTTAAATATTCAAATATAATGGAATGTGACAGTAGATATACATACATATATCTACTTTAGAACTAGGAAGGGGAAGAAAAGTTTAATATGTAATCGTACCTTACATTTAGTTAAACATAAATATTTGTTATTTATACATAAAATTGCTTCCAAAAAAACAACTAATTAATCAATTAGTTGTACTTGTTTTACTTCTTAAAATTTCCAAGTGTTAACTTTTCTTAGACTTAAATCAACTCTTCCCTAGTGCACTTTTAGTTCATGTCCTAATGAATTCAGCTCTTTAAAAGTCCCATCACCCAATACATAAATATACAAAATTTAAATCCTTTTAGTTGCATCATGTGTATGCTCCCTTTTTCTAGTCAGTTACCAGAAAAGGTTTCCTTTTGCGAATCCTTGTTACAACCTGTAACAAAACATGCCAAGCACTAAAGTTAGGCATGGCAAGCATTTGTGAAATGCCAAGAACTGCCGAGTTCTGCTTCTTCCACGTGTGGGCCCAGAGATACCAGGCAAGATTCAACATTGCCTGTCAAAAGCTTCCACAAATCCAAGCTAGCTAATTCCTGGAAACAAAGATTGTAAGCTCATTTTGGCACTGGATCGTTTTCATCCAGCAGCTTTGTGCTTCCCGCCACAGCACCCACATGCCTCACCAGAGCGATGGCACATTCTCAAAGGGACGTAGCAGCACATACATGGTACAATGAAAGACAACGCTACCAGGGCTAACCATCGTAAGCAGAACTTGTCATCGCTAGTGTCACAAGAACAGGGGTCAGAAAAATCTCCCTCTGAGTCTGACATACAATGATACAACATGCTCTCTGCACAGAGCATGCAACTAACTTGATATATGCATCTTTTAATCGGGTCTGGAGCATCCTGACACTTCCCTCTGCCATTTTCTTCATGATTAAACCTTTCCTGGCAGTAGACGCAGCGAGAACGTTCACCATCCTCTTTTCTTCGTTTTGACTTCTTAAATTTTAAGGAGGAGGGCTGTGTCTTAAATACCACAGAGTTTTTGAGTGCACTTAACTTAGTCTCATCCTCACACGAGTACAGATAGTCAGATTTTTTATTGTCTGGTTTTGAAAACTGAATATTGGAGTCATTATCATCTCTCTCCAAGTCATTTTTCCACATATCAGGATGTCTGTAGTCTGCATAGCGACGTATTAAGATATCACGAGGGTTGATTCTGACGATCTCATCCTCATCTTGAAAGCTGACGTGTCTGATTGATTTCAAGGGAGCCTACGAAGGAAAGGGAGGAGAAATTGCAATAAGGATACACATGTTTGTACAACCTGACTATATGGGAAGCCAACATGGAAAGGCCTGGGTAGCACTCCGGGGTACGCTTTGGACAGTGACAGTTCCATGGGAGAAAGATGAGGCTGTTTGCTTTCCTACGTATTCACATTCTCAGAAAACCTTTCAGGGGTACTATGAGTCAGAAAGGACTGGATAGCAGTGGGTTTGTTTTCTTTTTGTTTTTCTGGGATGTGGAAAGTTCCTCAAAATGAATTAACACCACACACACCTCAGAAATACACACACACACACACACACACGGAACAAATCAAGTCTTCCATGCATATAGCTCCAGTCAAAAAACCAGACAAAACAATACAGCCCCGCCCCCCCAAAGTGAGCATTTAGTAGTCCAGATCAGATCCTCCACTCCTACCCCCAGATGCCGCCGATTCATGCTGGCGTGAATTTCTATTTCAGACCTTTAGGATCCCGGTTAATATAAATTCCAGGTTTGGGTAAAAAGTGAGGTGATGGATATAATGCAGTAAATTAAAAAATATCCAAGTTCTATGGGCTCTATCTAAAGCAGTGGAATTGACCTAAATTCAACCCAGAGTCACGACAGAGTTAACAATAACAATTTTTATTTCTCTCACCTTGGCATATAAAAATTCTATCAATTAATGGAGTACTGTATCTAAATATTTAAAGCAATTTTATTTCAGAAGATTTAGCATCTTCAAGTTGAAATCACAGCCCAAACATTGGATTATTAATAATATATCCTAAATAAAAACATTTTAACTGTTAGTCTAAATTATATGGGTCTGTAAGCATATGCGTAGCAACTGTCTACAGTGGAAGATTTTCTAGTAGAATTCAACATATGGAGAATTAGAAGGATTGAAACTTCACCAAATGTCAATCAGTTAAAATCATTATCAGAAGAAATGGGATTGCGTACCTTATTTTGGGGCTTTACGTTTCCACATTCCTTGGATATTTGCCGTTGTGTATATTCCATACCTCTGCTCTGAATGTCTAGGTCTGGCTGACTGAATGTTATCTAAAATAGGAACAATTTCTACTGAAGTGAAAAAATAATGCATTTTTTTATATTTAATCAAATCACAGACCTTAGGTTCCCAATTTTTTTGGCCTACCACCCTCTTTGCAGGACAAAAGAAAAAAAATTACTCAAATTCCACTGTGGCAGTTAAAAACTTTTGTACTACACTGTCCGCCATTCAGGCAGGGTTAAGTGTAGGCATGTATCTGCCTTTGCAGCACCCCCTGGATGGTTCCAGTGCCCCCAAGGGGGCAGTATCACCTACTTTGAGAAACACTAACACAGTATACTTCGAACATACTTCACAGCCTATTATTAAAAAGCACAATTTGAGTTATCCTTTTAAAGCAACATCATAAAACAATGGAGATAAAGGAACTGCCCCCATCCCCCAAATTTAAAGGTCTTATATATGCAAATTTTAGTTTAAAAAGTAACCACAGGCAAAAAGTGGAAATAACCCCAATGGCCATCAACTAGGGAATATGCAAACTGCAATATACCTATATAATAGAATATTATTGAGCCATAAATAGGAATGAGGTACTAAATCATGCCACAACATGGAAGAACCTTGATAATACTCTGCTAAGTACAGGAAGTCACAAACAACAGGTCACACATGATCTGATCCATTTACAGGACATGTCCAGAAAGCAGACACAGAAACTAAATACAAGGTAGCAGGGGCTGGGGCCAGGGGGAATGGAAATGAATTTTCTCTTTATGGTGGTAAAAAGTGTTCTGGAATTAAGGAAAGTGGTTGCTTTAACTTTTATGTAAACACAAAAACCCAAGGATCTAAGCATCTACCCTAAGAAGCTAATAGTGAAATTCTAAGAAGGAAGATCATAGAAAAATAGCAGAAACCAATGAACTAAAAATCAAGAAGAGCAAAAAGTCTCCAGTGAAGCAACCGAAAAGGCTAATAACACGGATAAATCACTAAGAACTCTAATAGCAAGATAGAAAAATGAGCAAAGTTCATCATTATTCCATAAATTAAAAAATGTAAATGAAAGACAAAATCCCTCAAAACACAACCTGTCATAGTAGACACAAACAATTAGAAAACCTGAAAAGTATTATGGCCGCTAAAGAAATGGAATCTAATAAAAAACCATCTCACAAAAGAAATTGCAGACCCAGGTGCAGAGAATTCTACCAAACGTTAGGAAATAACAATCTTAACATCTTTCACAAACTAACATCACCTTCATAACCTAATGAAATTACAAGAAAGGGGAATGATGTGCTAATCTCTTTCATAAACACAGACAACAATCCTAAATAGGTAAAGAACAAAAATCTAGAAGCATTAATTTGGAGGACTTAAGTATCAAGCCTAGATTTATTATAAAACTGTCACAACTGAAACTGTGTAGCGCTGGTGTGAAAATAGACACAGAGGCCAAGGGATCACAACAGAGATCAGAAACAGCCTCAACATATCTAGTCATACGACAAAACTTAAACTGCAATGCAGTGGTTTCCGAAAGCCGGGGCTTTTCAACAGATGACGCTGCATCAATTGGCTATCCAGACGGAAGAAAACAAACAAACAACTTTGATATTCCAATCTCATCACGTACTCTTCAATAGGCTAACAACTTTTCTCATTTTGAACAGTCCAGGCAATCCCTTATCTTTTCAGAATAAATTCGGTGTGCGCCTTCTTGTGCTCCCATAGCACCCTTACCTCACCTTTAGAGCAGAACTCTGGAACAGAAACCATGGTTTATTTTCCTAGATGTCCTCAATTCTATACACAGGGTGAGACACAACTAATGTTACTAATTTGTCAAATGGAATGCTTTTGCATACAGTTCTCGCCTATGAAAATGTCTTACCAAGCAAATTGCATGTTTGAGCTCTTCAGGTCAAATTTTAAGGAAGACTCAGGCGGGCTTTAAAGCATAGGCAGTATGCTATGGAACGCTAATGCATCTTTTATTTACCACCTGTGAAGAATGATATATTAAAAAATTTTATCTTTTTGATTGGCCTTTGTTTTGTTGACAAACGCTGGGTGTGATTTCAGTTCACAAAGTAAGAGTAAGGTTACCATCACTAAGAGAATGAGGGTTAAGAATTGTCTTTCTGATAATAGAGTCATGTACTGTAATCGAGATTTCATTTTCAGATTAACTTGGATATATTCAGAGTCTGAACATTTGATCCCAGTGGAAATGTCTTCACCGAATTGATTTAGGAGTACAATTTCAGTTTCTGAGGTATGCTACAGGAAATGCCCTTGTGAAATTTGTGTTTATTTATATAATAGGTATGTTTGCTAAAAATGATTTTCATCTTTTATTGAGTATGGCTTTTATACAATAATGCTAGGTAAACTTTTTGTTACCAAGAGGCTAGAATGCTTTTCTTCTTAGATAAATGAGAATGAAATAATTTATTCCCCTTTGCCAGCAAAATATTTAAATTCAAATTTCTGGTCCGACCATTACATCTATTTAAGACCTTATTGTCTTAATATCCTTCTCTAACACATTCCATTTTCACACCTCTTATTAACAGCCTGAAAAATGTCTATCTTCTCACCTGATTGACTTGGCTTTGCAAGTAGGCTCTTCTGGCACTCAGATCTTCAAATGGAGAAGGTCTTATATTTGAGCTTCTATAAGGCTCACTGGTAACAACTGTGTCTTGCTGGAAAAAGTGGTCTTTCACTAGAGAACTAGAAGTATCCTCTTCAGGTACCTAA